TGTTTTGCTGGGACTGAGGCTTTGTAAGCCTTATTTTTGCCTTGCCAGCTGGATCCTTGTTAGCTTCCAACCACAGGGTGCACTAGAAGGAAAACGCAGGGCTGCAGGAGAAAGAAATGACACTCTCCTTCCTGTTTGCTTCCTACCTGGTAGCTTGTGCTTCCCGTGAGCACTTCCTTTCTTTGCTTCTTCACTCTGGCGGAGCAGTACCTTCCAGGAGCAGCAGCAGGAGGCAATTTGCAGTTTTCCACATTTTCTCTGAGCTGGGGTTACAGTGGCTACTCAGAAACACCGGCACCAGTTGGCTATTCCTATCTGCTCAGAGGCCTGTCCTAGGCCCACAGGCTCTGTCCTGTAAACTTCTAAGTTTTAGTAATTCCACTTTCTGTTCCTTGCACCCTAAATATTAGGAGTGGTACCTGCTTCCTCCAGTTGCTAACTCTGTGATATACCACAGAGTTCTAATTTACTCTCAGTTAATAACATTTTACCTATTTAACAATTATTTATATTAAATTCTTGTTATTCAAATAACTGATATATGAGTCATAATTCAACCAAAGAAGCAGAACCAGTAGAATATCTATCTATCATCTATCTTTCTACCTATTTATCTGTCTAATCTATGCATGCCTATGTGTATATGTATACCAACATATGTGTATCTACATATATACCATATGTGTGTGTGTATATACACACACACACACACACACACATATATATGGATATAAAGCAAGTTATGAAAATAGGCTCTCTCTATATATATGTGATTGTGGGGTAGGCTTGGTGTGTCTGAAATCCATAGGGCAGGCTGTCCAGAATGGGAGGCTGGAACTCTTGGGCATGGGCTAAACCTGCTGTCCATAGTTGGGATTTTGTCTTTATCAGGGAAGTCTCAGCTCTGCTTTTATGTCTTTCCATTTATTGAATCAGGCCCACCCAGATTATCTAGGAAATTTTCTGTATGTAAAATCAACTGATGACAGACTTTAGTCATATCTACAACATACCTTCACAGCAACACTTAGATTAGTGTTTGAATAAGTGGGAACTGTAGCCTAGCCAAGTTGACACAGTCAAATATCTTCACAGTTGGTGTGGTTTGTGTCTCTTTCCTGTACTCCGACTTGTACAGATCATCACTTGGATATAGAGTGCTGGATTTTTTCTAGCTGAAAAAATAACAGGAAACAAGAATCAGTGGGAGGAACTCTCTAATTTCTCTAAGACATTACAAAACTAGATCACTTGTAAATCTGAAGTGCAGACTCCAGCTCTTTGTCCTTAGACATTTTTAAGAGTGATGTGTATTTAGGAAACCTGCCTCTATTCTTGCCCTTGGCTTCTTGTATTTGATTTTACCCATAAACTATGAAGAATAAATCTTAAAATTTTATTGAACAAAAGGAATATATTTTTACTAGAACAGTGCATTAAATAGTCTTCTTGATTGACAGGACATTAATCAACCTCAATCTAACATACCTTTGTCTATCTGAATATTTGCCTTAGATGCCTACATGTAAGAACTGCTATGAAATGTGATTTTTTTTTCTATTCTAGTCACTTAAATTGTTTTGATCTCAGGCAAAACACTTGGTGACTTCTCTGACCTTCAGCCACCTTCCTGTTTATTTTCTGAGTTAGTGTGAGGTTCAGGAGGGCTAGGGAATAGGCAGATGCTTTGTGCACACTGAGAGGCATTCTTTTTGCTCCGGGAACATCAACTGGAAATTCAAAGACTTGAGTACCTAGCAATTCAGTTTTCTCAGCTCTAATATTTTAACTCATTTTTCTCTTTCCATTTTGAAAAGCTTTATTGCCTCTCTGGATTTATTTGTTGAACTTTCTATTTCAATAAAATTCATTTAGGAAATAGTTTTCTTTGGAGAGCAGTTATAAAGAGATTTATGACTTTGACTTTCTAGATTCATTTTTCACAATCGTAGACACAACAGAGAGATTGTTTAGCTTCTACTAAGTACCTAGTGTTTCTAAGGTAGCTTTTATAGAGCTGGTGAGCCAAACTTAGACCCAAGAGACAAAAGGAAAATCTAACCTTCACTCCATTCCATTCTTTTCTAAAGCTCTGAAAATAAAGGCACTTGCACCCTGGCTTTATTCCATCTGGTCCTCCTAGTAACATGTTTGTAGTCTCTGGGACATAGCTTTGAGAAGAATTTCCCACTTGCTGAGAACTCAGTGTCAGAGAAGGTGGAATAGGAATCTGTTGAGTATTTCCTTCTGGGAAAACCGTTTTATGCTCTTCTAAGATTTGTTTCTGAAATGTCCAACTCAGCTGGTTGGAAATATCCTGCAGAGGATGAATTTTCTTTCCTGACAATAGCCATCCATTTATAAGTACCCAGGAATGATAGGATATTAGAATGAGAAATTAAGGAAGAGAGTTTTCATATGCATGTGTATTAGCTTGCTAGGGATGCTAACCCTAATCCTAACCCTAACCCTAACCCTAACCCTAAACCCTAACCCTAACCCTAACCCTAACACCACAAACTTGGTGGCTTAAACAAAGAAATTTATTTTCTCACGGTTCTGGAGACTGCAATTTCAAGATCAAAATGTCAGCAGGTTTGGTTCCTTTTGCAGCTTGCAGGTGGCTGTCTTCTGGCCATGTCATCACGTGGTCTCTGTGCACACACATCTCTGATGTCTCTGTGTGTTCAAATCTCCTCTCATAAAAAACATGAGCTAGTATGGGTTAGGGCCCACCCTGATGACCTCATTTTAACTGACTCACATCTCTATCTGCAGTCACATTCTGAGGTACCAGGACTTAAATCTATGAGTTCTGAGGGTGAAGCAATTCAGCCCATAACATATGCAAATAGCTCAGTACTAGGTATAGTGATAACGCATTTTGTCTTTTAATTTTTAAAGCAAGTTATTAAAATAGGTTCTATTATTTTCCCTGCTGTAGATGTGATAAAATTCATACTAAGTGAAGTTAAGGTGGTTGCTGTTGATAAGTTGGTGGAGTTGAGGTCTTGTGAATGGGAAAATTGTATCAAAAGAAATGTGAGAAAACCATAAACCTGAGGAAGCTTCTGTCCATGAATTAGGATTCATCCAATTCATGGACAGAAGCTTCCTCAGGTTTATGATTTTCCTCAGGTCCATGAATCCTTGCCTTTTATGAAGCAAGGAAACAGATTGGATTTCAATTTCACGTAATTGTAGTGAGACCTTTCCTATACTTTTTAGTTTTCCAGGATCTCACTCCAGAAAAGCTGATTATGCCATAATGTATCCAGAAAAGGCTCCTATAATTCGGAATTAACTGTCAGTGTTTTGCATTTAATGGGGCTTCTTCAGAGGACAGGCCTTGGGTTACTGGACTCATTTTTTCTAGGGCTCACAGATAGTAAGAGTACCTGGGAGTGCATGTTCCCTCCACCCAGGGTTTCTCAGTTGGCAATGGCTGACTAGAGCATAATCAAGAAGACAAGTTCTGCAGTGTGATTTCTTTCGGAAATTCCTCTGGGAATCAGAATGAAGCTTGAACTTTGCTGGAAATTTCACCCTTGCTTAGTTTCTTCTCCTTTCCTGCCCTGCTTCCCTGGTCCACGTCAGTTTCCCTTTGTGACATATCCTTAATAAATTACTTGCACATAAATCTTTGACTCAGGAACTAATTCTGGGTGACTCAACCTAAGACACTTTCTATTGCTAAATCTTTTTCTAATTTGATTGCATTCCCTAGAGAAAACCAAGGATTGAATCAAATCTAAATACTGTGATGGAAAAGAACAAAAAACCTGGTTTTAATTCCTGGCTCTGCTATGTATCAGCTTAGTGATTGGATCCTTCACTCATTCCAAAGCAAAACACTGAAAATCTAATCAGTCATACTTAAAAAAAAGTACAAAGAAGTTTGTTCATTTATCTAACCCCAAATTCAGGAGTAGCTCTGACTTTCAGCATGATTGATGTTAATGGAAATTTGTTTCATTCCTTTTGACTTCTTGCATTGCAGCAAGATGGGCACCATGAGCTCCAATTCCTAACGTTTGTAGTTCAGCCACCTCCACAGAATGAGGGCACCTAGTCTCCAAAATCAGTCCTGAGATTTATTCTGATTGATCCTTTTTAGGAAACATGCCTGCTCTTGGACCAATGATTGTTTCTGCTTGGCCAGGTGGGACAGATTTCATTCCCTGGAGCCAGGGTAGAATAATCCCCAACTTAACTTTATTAACTGAGTATGGGGAAGAAGTGATAGGTTCCTTAAGCAAAACTAAGGTAATAGAAGAAAGATAAATGTATGTTGAGCAGACAAAATTAACTAGCTCATACATTGGGCTTGAATGAGATAATTATTTATCCTTACTGTCAATTGGAAATATAGTCCTTATTGTATAGAGTTGTGATAATGATTAAAATGACATGACATAGAAAGAGCTATCAGCACATTGTCTGATGCACAATACTTGTTTAATAAATTATAGTTATTAGTACATTAGTGATAGAATTGTGTTTGATCATCTCAAGGTTCCTTTCGTCTGAAGCATTTTATTATTTTAAGTCAGTTTCCCTTTGTGGCATATCATTAGTAAATTACTTGCACACAAATCTTTAACTTAGTGACAAATTCTAGGTGACTGAACTCATATGTGAGGGAATAAACTAAGACCAAACCCATATTCTACTGAGAGACTATGTTAGAGAAACTTCCAGGGTCGGCTAGGGGCTTTGTTCTCAGAGGTGGGAATTCTCAGAGCCGGGAATTTCCCGCCTCTGGCCAGCTAGGGGCTTTGTTCCCAGTGCAGGAATTTTCCCACCTCTAAATCCTGAAGTCGGAGGCTCAGTGACTCAGGGTTTTAAAACAGTAACCAATCCGGTAAAGGATTCACAGATCAACTGATCCAGAGAAAGTTTGAGAAAACCCCTCTCATTGGATGAGAACAAGAAGGGGGAGGGAATAACTTAGGGTTATAAACTCCAGCCACCCAAGCCTGCAGGGGCATCCCCTTCACTGTCCTTTTGCTCTGCCTAATAAACTGCAGTACCACACACTCTTTGAGTCCATGAGTTCTATTTGAGCTGTAAGACACACTGCAACACCGAGGCCCCTTCCCCGTTTGTTGTGTTTGGAGAGGCCAAGAACCTGAGTTCCAGAAAATCCAATTGTATCTAATTCGGTTACATCCGTTGGTGAGCCAGCCAGGAGGTACTTCAAACTTCAGTATGGTGAGTGACTCTGGACCACTTTCACTCTTACTAATTTGTCCTTCTTCTCCTAAATTTGTTCAGGAGACAAATTACTAGGCACCTGTTGGCCAGTTAAAAGTGACAAGTGCAGCTGCCAGCCCAAAGACATGGGTGTCAGGCTTTCTGGGAAAGGGCTCTCTGACACCCCTGGCTCTGTGAAATTGGGAGCATTGATTTGCCTGAAACCATTTCTCTCTCTCTTTTCACTCTGTCTTTCCCTAGGCCAAGCTGAGGGTCGGTTAGGGGTGACAAGCAACAGTCCTTAACTCCTGGTTTGATCCTGTTGAGGTTATGGCCTTGCTTAGATCCTCTAAGAGACAGCTGCCCATGCGAGCACTGTCTAGCCTTTCAGATGCCAACTTCCTGGATCCAAATATCCATGAGGAAAACTTCTTCCTGGCTCTTTCCTCTAAAATGTTTTCTACATCTGATGCCATTACCCTTCTTTCTAGGACCTTGGAGATCTTGACATGGTGGTCCAGGGACCCTTGTCCATGTGCCCTCAGGCCTATACCTATGAGCACCACATACAGTATAAATACACAGGATGGGTTCCCTTTGTCTGCTGTTCTAGGCTATGTTCTAACAGAGTCAGGGTCTGTCAGTGGGTACTGGAGGCTTAGGACGTTTTATTTTATGTTACTTGCAATTTCCCAACCCAACCAAATGGTGCCAGGACCCTACAGCCTAAGATTTGTCATGTTTAGGATCGGCCCTCCATATGGCAGAACTTCTCCATCTAGAGCACCATAGTCAGCCTGGTCTGAGACTCAAATAGTTAATTACAGGGCCCAGAGTGATAGGGCATACTCCTATGACAAAAAGTGAGGAGAAAAGGCTTTGGTCTGGAGAGTATTGTCCCAGGCTTGGCCCCATGGCCAACAATTACCTTCTTTAAGATTGTTATGTTTAGAGACCCTTCTCAAGGAATTGATCCTCCTGGGGTGGTTTAATAATCAAGCCTATGTTCATCGGACCCTTGCTAGGGAATATAAATAGCACCCGTCACCTAAACCTCACTGACCTAGTTCCTCAAGGACACATCAGTAAAGGGTCACCAAATCCAGCAGTCTGCATGTCCTTTAAGGTGGCCATAAAGGGCATTAGACAGGGAGGATATGCCCATTACACTGGTAAGCATGCTTAAACCCAGCAAATGGGAAGGCCCACGAGATGATCACACATCTAAGGTGCAGGAAAATTACAGAGTGCTCTACCACTGGGGACACCCCAGGGTTGACAATTTCCAGAAATAGCCAGGGTTGCAGGCATCCCTGTGTTCAATTTCAGATGGGTGCTACTCTTCCCAAGGCAAAGTCACCCTTTAAGTGTATCCTGCATAACTGGGACCAATTTGACCCACAATCTTTGAAGAAACAGCAGCAGCTTATCTTATTTTGCAGCATGGCCTGGCCACAATACCTTCTTCAGAGTGGAGAATCCTGGACACCTGAGGGAAGTATAAATTATAACACCCTTCTACAATTAGACCTTTTCTGCATGAGGGAAGGTAAATGGAGCGAAGTCGCCTATGTGCAAACTTTCTTTTCTCTATGTGATAATCCTCAATTATGTAAAGTTTATAACTTATGTCCTTCTGGCCCCTCCCTGGGATTACCCCCATACCCAAGATTCCCTATGGCTCCTCCCTCCACCAATACCAACAGGCTCTCCCCAGCTCCTAGGACACAAGAGGAATCAGGGAAAACCAAAACAACCAAGGCACCACAGGATGCCCCAACCCTACCCTCTACAGATGGTAGGAAGGAAATTTGGCCCAACCAAAGTACATGCTCCCTTAAAGCAAATCAAGGTGGACTTAGGAAAATTTTCAGATGACCTGGACAAGTACATAGATATTCTGCAGGGTCTGGGTCAATCCTTTGAACTAGCTTGGAAAGATATCATATCACTGCTTAGTTAGACCTTAACCAGTAGTGAGAGAGATGCCACTCTAACAGTGGCTCAAGAGTTTGGGGACACTTGGTACCTTAGTCAAGTGAATGACAAAATGATGCCAGAGGAAAGGGAAAGATTCCCTACAGGTCAACAAGCAGTCCCTAGTACAGACCCTCACTGGAATCCTGACTCCAAACACGGGTACTGGAACCATAGGCACCTATTGACCTGCATACTCGAGGGATTAAGACAAACCAGGAAGAAATCCATGAACTACGCAATGTTATCCACCATAACCCAGGGAAAGGAAGAAAATCCAACAGCCTTACTTGAGAGGTTATGGGAGGCCTTAAGAAAATATACTCCCCTGTCAACAGACTCCATCAAAGATCAGGTAATACCAAAAGACAAATTTATTATGCAATCAGCAGCAGACATTAGAGGAAAGCTCCAAAAGCTGGTCCTAGGGCCAGAACAAAGTCTAGAATTATTACTAAATCTAGCAACCTCTGTGTTTTGTAATAGAGATCAGGAGAAACAGGCTGAAAGGGACAGAAAGGACGAGAAAAAGGCTGTAGCCCTAGTCATGGCCCTCAGGCAGGCAGACCTAAGAGGCTCGGAAAAGGGAAAGGCTTGGATTAGCATGAGTCTAGCAAAGCTTGCTACCACGGCGGCCTACCGGGACACCTTAAGAAAGATTGTCTCAAGAGGAATGGACCACCTCCTCGTTTTTGCCCACTGTGCCAAGGGGATCACTGGAAAGTACACTGTCCCAGAGGGATGAAGGTTCTCAGGGCCTGAGGTGGCTAACCAGCGGACCCAACAGCAAGACTGAGGGTGCCCGGGACAAGCAGCAGCACAAGCCATGACCCTTGTGGTCATGGAGCTTGCTTATGAACTGGCTATCCTGGGCTCTCCCCTCTTCTAGCCCCTTAATAACCATCCTATTACTGCTTGCCTTTGGGCCTTGCATCTTTAACTTTCTTGCCAAATTCATTTCTTCCAGAATTGAGGCCATGAAGCTACAAATCATCCTGCAAATGGAATCCAAATGTCCATGGCTCATTTCTATCATGAACCACTGGATCAACCTGCAATCCCAGAAGACTCTGCTCTGGAAGAAACCTCAACTGCAGGGCCCCTTCTACACACACAGGAAGTAGTTATAGCGGTCTTCGCCTGTATCCCAACAGCACTGGACTTTCCTGTTCAGAGTAGATACTGAGGGACTGTGTTAGAGGAACCTCCAGGGTCGACTAGGGGCTTTATTCCCAGTGCAGAAATTTTCCTGCCTCTGACTCCTGAAGGTGGAAGTTCAGTGACTCAGGTTTTAAAACAGTAACCAATCTGGTAAAAGATTCAAAGAAAGTTTGTAGAAACCCTCTTATTGGATGAGAACAAGAATGCGGAGGGAATAAGTCAGGGGTGTAAGCTCCAGTCACTGAAGCCTGCAGCAGCACCCTTTCTGGGTCCCCTTCCATGGTGTGGGAGTTGTCCTTTTGCTCTGCCTGATAAACCACACTACCACACACTCTTTGGGTCCATGAGTTCTATTTGAGCTGTAATACTCACTGCAAAACCAAAGCCCCTGTTCCCATTTGTCTGGGTTGGAGAAGCCAAGAACCTGAGTTCCAGAAAATCTGGTTGTATCTAATCCAGTTACACTCAGGACATGTGCCTAGAATGGCAAAAGCTTCCAGGAGCAAGTCAAGTCATGCTTAAAGTTATGACAAGGCAATTCTAATATGAAACTCTGTTGTAAATACCAACACGATTATTTCACTGTAAAGTGTAAGAAGCATCTCTTATTTTGGGTGGGGAATATTGGGAAGGGGAAATAATTAGGGAAGTAGAGAAGCACTGAGTGTTTGTATTTCTTTTCTACCCATCACAGTGCCTGTTAAACTGCTAAGCAAATAATAGAAAAATACAAGAAGTATGTAATGTTTCTTTCTGATTTTTGTGTGAGAAGCTGTGAGATGACAAAAAGAATCATCTGTGGCCTTTGGTAGAAAATCTAAAATTTCTTTTATTACTTTATAATGAAGCTCTATTCTATCATTTCACATAGCAATGTGCTAGGCAATAGTAAAACAGACTTCTCCATATGTATTATTTCTGGTTTCATGACTAAGTGTCACTTAATCATTTTCCTGATTGAATGTAAATATGTGCAAATTAGACAGTGCAAATTTTCATCACAGTTAAACTTTTAGCCTTTTTTCTTGGAAATAACCTTAACAATTACATTTTTAATATTCAATGGTCCTTGTTACCTTAGAAGAACACAGAAGAAAAGAAAAGTTAAATGAGAATATTAGCTTTATCTTTATTATTTTGGCTTCAGACCTCTGAAATTTCATTCTGGAAAGTAATTTTATACTTACAATTTTCTGGATAATACAAACCCTTCCTTTTAAATTGATCTTTAATATAGAATTGCATCCTTTTTAACTTGAGAAAAATACGTTTTCTTCTCGGAAAACATTTTCCCTCTTGTCACTGGGTAACATCATTTTATTCATTTTGAAAAGAAAGAAATATCTTGTCGGATACGCAGACACACCCATGTATTCAGTGTTCTTCGTGGGTCAGGGAAGACCAGGAATGTATTAAAGTGTACAGTTTTCTCATTAATGATTGGGCATATAGCTTTAAAAAGCCTTCTTTCCTGCTGCCTTCATCATTCACGCATCACTGGAAAAGAGAGAAAAAAAATGTTCAACCATTTTTTAAACCCAGAGACCATTTTTTTATCATGAATATGATAAAAAACAGAAAAAACAATGCTCATTCAAACTATTTAAGAGATGGAATCCCATCTAAACATTAAGAAGTATGATGCACCTCTGCATATAATATTACCTAAGTCACCAAGATAAGTAAAAAAAAAAAGCAAAGTTCAAAAAGGAAACACTATAGAGTAACAGAAGTAAAATGTATAAATTATTTAAACATAGAATAACTCTTAAAACATAACAAGACCCCAATAAAATTGACTGCATTCCGAGAAAACTGTAACTCTGAACTTAGGTTTTATTGTGTACCTTTATTCTTGTTGCTAAAATGTCCTGACACGAAAGTAGAGAGATAGTATAATAATCCTCCACAGAGTCATCATCCATATTCAACAGTGCTCAGAATTTTCCACACTTGCTTCTTGTTTTGTTTCTTTTTTTTTTTAATTTTTTATTGCATTTTAGGTTTGGGGGTACATGTGCAGAACATGCAAGACAGTTGCATAGGTACAAACATGGCAGTGTGTTTTGCTTCCTTTCTCCCCTTCACCCACATTTGGCATTTCTCCCCAGGCTATCCCTCCCCACCTCTCCCTCCCACTGGCCCTCCCCTTTTCCCCCCAATAGACCCCAGTGTTTAGTACTCTTCTCTCTGTGTCCATGCGTTCTCATTTTTGATCACCCACCTATGAGTGAGAATATGCGGTGTTTCGTTTTCTGTTCTTGTGTCAGTTTGCTGAGGATGATGTTCTCCAGATTCATCCATGTCCCTACAAATGACACAAACTCATCATTTCTGATTGCTGCATAATATTCCATGGTGTATATGTGCCACATTTTTCCAATCCAGTCTACCGTCAATGGGCATTTGGGTTGATTCCAAGTCTTTGCTATTGTAAACAGTGCTGCAATGAACATTCGTGTACATGTGTCCTTATAGTAGAACGACTTATAGTCTTTTGGATATATACCCAGTAATGGGATTGCTGGGTCAAATGGAATTTCTATTTCTAAGGCCTTGAGGAATCGCCACACTGTCTTCCACAGTGGTTGAACTAATTTACACACCCACCAACAGTGTAAAAGTGTTCCTTTTTCTCCACATCCTCTCCAGCATTTGGTGTCTCCAGATTTTTTAATGATTGCCATTCTAACTGGCGTGAGATGGTATCTCAATGTGGTTTTGATTTGCATCTCTCTGATGACCAGTGACGATGAGCATTTTTTCATACGATTGTTGTCCTCATATATGTCTTCTTTCGTAAAGTGTCTGTTCATATCCTTTGCCCACTTTTGAATGGGCTTGTTTGTTTTTTTCCTGTAAATCTGTTTGAGTTCTTTGTAAATTCTGGATATCAGCCCTTTGTCAGATGGGTAAACTGCAAAAATTTTTCCCATTCTGTTGGTTGCCAATCCACTCTAGCGACTGTTTCTTTTGCCGTGCAGAAGCTGTGGAGTTTCATTAGGTCCCATTTGTCTATTTTGGCTTTTGTTGCCAATGCTTTTGGTGTTTTGTTCATGAAGTCCTTGCCTACTCCTATGTCCTGGATAGTTTTGCCTAGGTTTCCTTCTGGGTTTTTATTGTGCCAGGTCTTATGTTTAAGTCTTTAATCCATCTGGAGTTAATTTTAGTGTAAAGTGTCAGGAAGGGGTCCAGTTTCTGCTTTCTGCACATGGCTAGCCAGTTTTCCCAGCACCATTTGTTGAACAGGGAATCCTTTCCCCATTGCTTGTTTTTGACAGGTTTATCAAAGATTGTGTGGTTGTAGATATGTTGTGTTTTCTCTGTTGCCTCTGTTCTGTTCCATTGGTCTATATCTCTGTTTTGGTACCAGTACCATGCTGTTTTGATTACTGTAGCCTTGTAGTATAGTTGAAATCCGGTAGTGTGATGCCCCCCGCTGTGTTCTTTTTGCTTAGAATTGACTTGGCTATGCGGGCTCTCTTTTGGTTCCATATGAAGTTCGTGGTGGTTTTCTCCAGTTCTGTGAAGAAAGTCAATGGTAGCTTGATGGGTATAGCATTGATTCTGTAAATTACTTTGGGCAGTATAGCCATTTTTACGATATTAATTCTTCCTAACCATGAACATGGAATGTTTCTCCATCTGTTTGTGTCCTCTCTGATTTCGTTGAGCAGTGGTTTGTAGTTTTCCTTGAAGAGGTCCCTTACATTCCTTGTGAGTTGTATTCCAAGGTATTTTATTCTTTTTGTAGCAATTGTGAATGGCAGTTCATTCTTGATTTGGCTTTCTTTAAGTCTGTTATTGGTGTAGAGTAAGGCTTGTGATTTTTGCACATTGATTTTATATCCTGAGACTTTGCTGAAGTTGCTTATCAGTTTCAGGAGTTTTGGGGCTGAGGCGATGGGGTCTTCTAGGTATACTATCATGTCGTCTGCAAATAGAGACAATTTGGCTTCCACCTTTCCTATTTGAATACCCTTTATTTCTTTTTCTTGCCTGATTGCTATGGCTAGAACTTCCAGTACTATATTGAATAGGAGTGGTGAAAGAGGGCATCCTTGTCTAGTGCCGGATTTCAAAGGGAATGCTTCCAGTTTTTGCCCATTCAGTATGATATTGGCTGTTGGTTTGTCATAAATAGCTTTTATTACTTTGAGATACGTTCCATCGATACCGAGTTTATTGAGGGTTTTTAGCATAAAGGGCTGTTGAATTTTGTCAAATGCCTTCTCTTCGTCAATTGAGATAATCATGTAGTTTTTGTTTATGGTTCTGTTTATGTGGTGAATTACGTTTATAGACGTGCATATGCTGAACCAGCCTTGCATCCCCGGGATGAATCCTACTTGATCATGATGGATAAGTTTCTTGATTTGCTGTTGCAATCGGCTTGCCAATATTTTATTGAATATTTTTGCATCTATGTTCATCATGGATATTGGCCTGAAGTTTTCTTTTCTTGTTGGGTCTCTGCCGGGTTTTGGTATCAGAATGATATTGGTCTCATAGAATGATTTGGGAAGGATTCCTTCTTTTTGGATTATTTGGAATAGTTTCAGAAGGAATGGTACCAGCTCCTCTTTGTGTGTCTGGTAGAATTCGGCTGTGAACCCGTCTGGACCTGGGCTTTTTTTGTGTGGTAGGCTCTTAATTGCTGCCTCGACTTCTGCCCTTGTTATTGGTCTATTCATAGTTTCAGCTTCCTCCTGGTTTAGGCTTGGGAGGACACAGGAGTCCAGGAATTTATCCATTTCTTCCAGATTTGCTAGTTTATGTGCGTAGAGTTGTTTGTAATATTCTCTGATGATGGTTTGAATTTCTGTGGAATCTGTGGTGATTTCCCCTTTATCATTTTTTATTGCATCCATTTGGTTGTTCTCTCTTTTCTTTTTAATCAATCTAGCTAGTGGTCTGTCTATTTTGTTGATCTTTTCGAAAAACCAGCTCTTGGATTTATTGATTTTTTGGAGGTTTTTCGTGTCTCAATCTCCTTCAGTTCAGCTCTGATCTTAGTTATTTCTTGTCTTCTGCTGGGTTTTGAGTTATTTTAATCTTTTTTTTTTTAATTTTTTATTGGATTTTAGGTTTTGGGGTACATTAGCAGAGCATGCAAGACAGTTGTGTAGGAACACACATGGCAGTGTGCTTTTCTTTCCTTCTCCCCTTCACCCACATTTGGCATTTCTCCCCAGGCTATCCCTCCCCACCTCTCCCTCCCACTGGCCCTCCCCTTTCCCCCCAATAGACCCCAATGTTTAGTACTCCCCTTTCTGTGTCCATGTTTTCTCATTTCTCATCACCCACCTATGAGTGAGAATATGCGGTGTTTCATTTTCTGTTCTTGTGTCAGTTTGCTGAGGATGACGTTCTCCAGATTCATCCATGTCCCTACAAATGACACAAACTCATCATTTCTGATTGCTGCATAATATTCCATGGTGTATATGTGCCACATTTTTCCAATCCAGTCTATTATCAATGGGCATTTTGGTTGATTCCAGGTATTTGCTATTGTAAACAGTGCTGCAATGAACATTCGTGTACATGTGTCCTTATAGTAGAACGACTTATAGTCTTTTGGATATATACCCAGTAATGGGATTGCTGGGTCAAATGGAATTTCTATTTCTAAGGCCTTGAGGAATCGCCACACTGTCTTACACAATGGTTGAACTAATTTACACTCCCACCAACAGTGTAAAAGTGTTCCTTTTTCTCCACATCCTCTCTAGCATCTGTTGTCTACAGATTTTTTAATGATCACCATTCTAACTGGCGTGAGATGGTATCTCAATGTGGTTTTGATTTGCATCTCTCTGATGACCAGTGACGATGAGCATTTTTTCATATGATTGTTGGCCTCATATATGTCTTCTTTCGTAAAGTGTCTGTTCAAATCCTTTGCCCACTTTTGAATGGGCTTGTTTGTTTTTTTCCTGTAAATCTGTTTGAGTTCTTTGTAAATTCTGGATATGCCCTTTGTCAGATGGGCAAACTGCAAAAATTTTTTCCCATTCTGTTGGTTGTCGATCCACTCTACTGACTGTTTCTTTTGCCGTGCAGAAGCTGTGGAGTTTC